TTCATTAGCAAGTAAGAAAGCTCCCAAACAAGGCAGGACTTTGTATAATATAATGTTATCATGATTGAGTACTCAGTAGTCTAGAGAGTCAGTGATTTTCTGTTTAACTTAATACTATGTTATGCCAAGAGGATTGACTGATTAAATAGGAATACATTATTTAAAATTATGAACATGTTATTATTGACTCATCACTTGACTAAGTTCTTTGAAGCATTCTTTTTCCCCTATAGAGTCAAAGATTTTGCCTTATTAGCCATCCACATGTCCTCGAATATCTTTTGGCTCACCAAAGGCTTACATTGTGAGGTGCTTGTCTGGATTTTAAGGCACCACGAATGGCTGTAGAATGCCATCTCTACATAAACCTAAGTGAATGACACTGAGCAAACTTGCTTTGCTCCCCATTCTCAGCCTTGTTCTAGAGCAGGGCGTTGCTAAGTGTGGCCTCCAATCCAGCAGAGCAGCATTACCTGAGAAGGTGTGATCAATGCTAATTCTCAGGCCCCACCATAGACCTGCTTCATAAAAAACTCTACAGGTGTGTTTTTCCCAGGTTATCAAATGATTCTGATGTGCATTAAAGTTAAAGAACAACTACTTTAAATAAAAATGGCCATCTACCTTTGCATTCAGATACTGAAGGAAGGTGGTGATTTTTCCTTTTCTTTGCAAATATAGCATTTAAGTGGAAACATAAATGTTAGGCTAATAACTTATGTTCTGGACATTCACTCATATTTTTGAAGTGCTTATACATCTCTGAGATCGTGGAGGAAGGAACTATCTTCATTGAACACATCAGAAAATTAAGACCAGGAGAATTTACCAGTATATAACCAAACTGAAATGAGTTATTAGAAGATGGGAAGGGACAGAATTACATATCAGTCTCTCAACCAGACAGATCACACAGCAGTTGGGCACCAAGCCTGCTGGTGGATCCTTTGAGTAACTGCAGCTGACCCAGTATGACCTGGGTAACTTAAAATCCTTGTTCATGTAATCAGTATCTGGTTTCTGCTGTCTATTTACAAAATTAAATTATTTTAGAAAACCCAATGACTTGTTTTAAAAATATCAAAACAGTTGAGGTTTATTTTTAATAATTTCTAGTCATATATTGAGTCTATATTTATTCCTACCTTGGACTGATAGTGTTCCATAAATATTTCTGAATTCTTATTATGGACTTAATATGCTTAAAGGCTTAAGATGCAAAAATGAAAACTATAGTCCCTGTTTTCAAACAGCTTGCCGACATTTGTTACACCTAGAATAGAGGTAACTTACGTTTGCCAATGCATTTATGCTCCTCTGAGCCCCAGTTCCGGATTGTGAGAGGGATGTCTGACTGCTGGTTTAGGCCCAATCCCTGTGGAACAGTTGGACATCCCCTGAGGGGTCTCAGATTGGAGAGGGTGCAGGCTGGGCTGAGGGACACCCCCCCCCCCCCGCAGGGCATATATTTCATGCCCCGGGTGTCTAGTGTGCAAATAAAATCTATGAGATTAGCTCTACTAGGATCTGTTATAATTAATGTTTATGAAAATTAAAAACATTTCATTGTTTGAAATCTAAGATGAAAACATGTGCACCTATCACTAGAAATTACATCATAGATTTGCCTCTTTCCATTAAACATTAAGTGTTTTTTTTTTCAAATCTGATTGTGTTTGTCTAATGCTGAAAAGTTAATGCTACTTAAGAAAACAAAAATCAACTTTATGTGTGAGTTTTCAGTTATTGTAAAGCATATAATGCAGAATAATTCTTTTCCACAGATCCCTTCATAATACTTAGAACATAACTCCTTTAATTATGCAAATCAATTAAGCAATATAAATTGTATATATTTATATCAATTGACAACACACAATTTTCTTTTGTAATTTATTATTTAGGGGGATTCAGGAGGACCATTAATGTGCCAAGAAAACAACAGATGGTTCCTGGCTGGTGTGACATCATTTGGATATGAGTGTGCGCGGCCTAATCGTCCAGGGGTGTATGCCCGGGGCCCGAGGTTCACAGAATGGATACAAAGTTTTCTCCATTAAAGTATTTCCTAAACCAAACACAAAAGTCAGGCACTTTTCTCACTCCACTCTAAAAAGTTTGGAAATTTAGAATTTTGTAAAATATAGTTTCTAAAAGTCATTATTTTTATCTATGCCACTGAAATGCTGGGGGGGAGAGAAACAAACAAACAAAAAAACTAAATTAATCTTTACAATACTAAGTAACTTTTAAATAATACATTTTGGTTTTTATTGTGAGCAGCTATTTTTTCACAGATATAATTCTCTTTGCTATAAATCATTATTTTTATCATATTCTCCTATTTAAAGAAAAATTAGGAAAAGAAGTGAAATTGACTGTTTTGCACAAGGTCTGTTACTGTTCGAAATAAACTGCTGGAAATTACCTACTTTCAGCTTAAACTGCTATTATCAAAAACTCAATAGTCTTCCTGCGTTTCTATCCAAACACATTTCTAATTCATCTTGAACATATTTTTAATGGTTCCCCTACTCATAAGTATGTATTCTAAGCTCATGTCAGAGACCTGGACTAAGTTGATTGCATGTCCTTCTCAAATAAGCTAATTAAACAGCAAACAAGCACAAGTCTATATATTATTTTACTATCAAAATAAAAGGTAAATTTACAGATATTGTAGTTTTTTATTGGATCCTTTATTATCTGAATTATTCATACTATCTATTTCTTACAAGCTGGTATTTTTTTTAAACTTTCAAAAATAAGTATACATATTTAAGAAAAGCAACTAGTAAAAATTTATTTTTCCCGATTTGTGTGTGTTACAGTGGATGTTTCTAACATGTGCAGCATTTATTTAAACACAGCTGAATTGCCCATTAGAAGACCAAAAATGTGGAATAAATGAATTTGTTTCACGGCTTTAATCTCTTGGATCATTTCCAGAGTAAGTGCAAACTTCAATTTCGCATGCCACACAAAATATACTGTCTCCTTTGGGAAGACAAAATTCCTACCTACTTAATACAAACACATTCTTGCATGGGTCTGTATGTCCAAAGGAATAGAGGAGAGAGTAAGGTTTATAGCAACTGAAAGATGGGATCAATCAGCACAGACTGGTCTTATGGAAGAAATGAAATTTGGGCTACACCTAAAAGGAATGATCATTATTGAAGTACTGAAGAGGTACTGGCGACCACTGGTGAGCAATTATAGAATTTATTCTGAGGACAGAAAGCCCGAGTCCCTGAAGACACTATTCAAGACCTTTCCAATGACCTGTTCCTGATAGTTAGGAAGGATGGAACAGCAGGAGTAGGGTGTACTCTTTGATTTACTACCTGGATATTATTCCAGAATTCACCTGCATTTCAAAACACACATTAAGAACTATGCTCTGAAAAAAACATCCACACCATGTAGTCCTTTTATATTTTTCAAAGGTCAGCTGCAATGTTAACAAACCCTTAGGACAGTCTCTTGACCATCTTCTAATAAGTGTGAAGTTCATTGTCCCACTCCCGGTAACTTAGGAGTTTAGTAATTAATGCCAGAAGAGTTATCCAGGCCTGGATCAAGATGAAAGGCACAACAAGGCCCTTCCCCACAGCTCTGCCTCTCCTGCGTGCAGCTGTTGTAGTCATGGGAGGCAGAGAGAGTGAGGAAAGTCTAGTCTCCTCCCATCGAATCTTCATGAAAGGAAGACAGGCATGGTGGGAGCTTGGTGAGATGAGGTAGATCCCAGCAGTTGGTCTTCATTCTGCCCAGAAAGATGGGTGGCCAAGAAAAGAAAGGGGAGTGCTAACATGGGCTGATCTAAGCCTAGGATGCAGCTGCCCATTCCCTCAGTCTCTAGGCAGCTGAAGAGGGGCCAATGCCCACTAATTTCTATTTTGCCTTTCAGTCTTGTCAACCAACTCTAGTTGTGAACTGCCTTAGTGAGATCTCTTGATTAACGGAAAAGGACTGTCTGGAAAAAGCTGAGGTTTAAAATGCTCTATAACCACCACTTTCATTCTCACCGCCCTTAAACAGTAACTTGTTCTCATCTTCATGGACTGATGCAAACATAGGTGTATTTTGTCCACTTGAGAGATTTAGATGACACGAACGCTCATTCTTCAGAAACAAGAACTTTTTATTTGGTTCAAAGGAGCACAGGGACATGTGAAGACCAGTTAGTTACAACTCTCTCTTGAGAAGAAGAAGCCACAAGCATTGAAGAAACCAGGGGATAAGACAGAAGGGCCCCAATTTGTTCTCCCAGCCAAAGCCTTAACAAGGAACAGTGATCATCCATGCCCTCCAGTCGTTTTTTCACACTAACTCATACTTTCCTTCCTCGCTGAAATGTGAGTGTCCTGTGCTTACCTCCACACCAATGTGACCACTCACCTGGTCCCAACTGTAAAACCCCTTCATTTGCTGATAGAGGCAAATCAGAGCTAGAAGAAAACCTTAGACAAACGATGCAGCTATCTGCCTCCAGTTTAATTCCCAAACCCCAAACAACCCTTTGTTTTGTGGTCAAGGGAGGGACCAAATTGATTCCAGAGCCCTCATCGAGCTACTTGTGGTTATATAGGCAACATGTGAAGACATATGATTGATAATGTATATACCACTATTTTCGTTCTAGATCGAGTATATCATTTATACAGTTATTAACAAAGTTATTACAAAATCTGCTGAATTTTAAACTAAAAATAATTGTAAGGCACATGTCTTGCACAATTGAACTTAGACAATTCTTGCCTCTAAGTAAAATATTTGTGTGGATTTATACCACAGTTAATGAAATAACTTCTTATTTCTGAAGAGATCTCCTACACATTGTCTGATCCAAAGCAGAGAAACTGAAAGATGAACCATTTCTAGAAAGGAAACTTTTTCCTATGGTAATATATTTATGTTTGTGAATTCAGTTGACCACAGTGATAAATTTCTTTAATTAAAACAGCATGTATTGAAAAATGAAACACCATAAAAATAAATATTAGAACAGTCCATTTTTATCAAACACTTACGTAAAGGTAAAATATATTTGCACACCGTAAATTTCAATACAATTTACATTACAGTAACTAGATTACAACTTATGAAAGGTAAAAGGAACAAAAATAACTGCTTCTGACACACATACTGCCGATGTGTTGACAGCAAGTTTATCCGCATGGCCCATTCCACTTACTTGAAGTTTGGGTGCATCATTTCGCAAAATAAGCATGTCTCACTCCATTATTAGCACAGCGTATTTTGTAAATGAAATAAACATAGAAAACTCATTTTAATATTTGCCTCAAGAGGGAGCTTACAGTTCATCTTGCAGATCCTCTGAGATTTCAAGCCATTCCAAGCTAAGGTTCTGATACCATTCCTTATACAAACCTCTGTTTTCTTTTCTGGAGCCAGTCAATGAGTTTTTACACTTCCATGCCACTTTCTTTTCTCGTGCTTTTTGAAATCCACAGTGTGGATTGGTTTGGGCTAGTTTTTGTCCTTCCTTTACTGAAAAACATAAGAAGAAATAAGTTCAATGTAGGAGATTCCTTATAAAACTCGGCATGTCTTGGTCCAAGTGGAGGTATGCATCTCAGAGCCTTATTGTAAAAGTGTCCTTCTAGAGATTGAAAATGGTGGCAGAGTAAGTGGATGCTGCACAGACATGGTCCCAGGAACAAACTGGTATTACAACTAAAATATAGAAAAACTTCCTGGATAATCAACAGAAAACTCGCAGGAGAGAACCCAGACACCTGGGGACCAAAAGTGGAGAATGCATAGAGACTGGTAGGAGGGGCAGAGGCGTGTAAAGGCTGGCCGGGTGCCCACAGACAACAACTGAAGTCCCAGAGAGTTTTCTCAGCTATGGGGTGGGGAGGGGATGGAGGGGAGTAGTGCCACTGAGAACTCTGGGATCTAATCCCCAGGCTGGGCCCTACAGCAGAGAGCACCAAAACTGAGGAGGGTACCCACATAACATCTGGCTGTGAAAAGCAGTGGGACCCTGTCTGCCAGAGAGTAACAGCTGAAAATTCAGGCACCCTCTTAAAGGGCCAACATACAAAATTCCCTGTGGAGCCACCCACCTTGTGCTCTGGCAGAAGGAGGGTGAAGTGGACTGGAGCTGTGAGAGCAGAAGCCAAGACTGGAGATTTGGGGGATAGAGCCCAGAAGGCAGACACCCCAAGTTTCCTGGGCTGAGTTATTCCCTCACACAGCGGAGAACATCTTTCCCACATAAACATTTGCCTTGCTTGTGGGGGAACACAGTTGACACACCCTATTGGAAAACACCTTGCCCTGAGGCCACTAAGAGATTAAAAGTAACAATTAGCCTCCAGGCATAAGCAACTGCCCCATCCTGTTGAAAAAACTCTGCCATACCTAAAGACAACTGCCTTGGGGGGGGCGGGGCAATTCAAGTTGGAATACTATTAGTTTGTAGGCAGAAGCGGTCTCTGGAGGCTTTGAGTCTTTGCCTGATCTAATTAGTCAGAAACAGCCTTTAACACCTTCCTGCACTCACGATTGAGAGGTGTAGAGGATCACAAACCCAAACAGAGAGCCAAAATGGGAAGACAAAGAAACAATCCCCAAATGAAAGAACTAGAGAATTCTCCAGAAGAGATAAATGAAGCAGAGATAAGAAATTTATCTGAAACAGAGTTCAGAGTAATGATGATAAAAATGCTCAACAGTGTGAAAAAAGATATAGTAACTATGAAAAAAGAACAGTCTGAGTTAAAGAATGATATAACACAAATAAAGAACACATTGGTAGGAATACACAGCAGATTAGGGGAAGCTGAGAATTGAATCAGTGAATTAGAAGACAGAGTTGAAAATATCACTCAATCAGAAAACCAAAAAGAAAAAATAATTAAAAGTGTCCTTCTTCTCTCACCAGCCTACTTTTTCATTCTTACAAAAAATCCTAGATTATTCCAGCATGTGAAGATTGCAAACAGTTCATATGAAATTATGAAAAAAAATAAAATAAAATAGATGGTTCTCTGTTGGATTCATCATAGTTTAGAATTCAGACACACACACACACACACACACACACACACACACAAGTATGTCTGACACAATGCCAACATTTTCATTGTAATCACCATTAAATCTTCATTTTCCTTGGAATATGATTTTTGAAATGTTGCTTTTTGAATATTCCTCCATTAGCATATGCTGCATTGAATACCAAATCATCAAAATAGTGCTTTTCTCCTAAGTATAAGAACCTTTCTATTCTCCTCTTCCCATCAGTTTTTTGGTCCTACAATTAAGACACCTAATCCCTGGAAGTTTAATTATTGTTTCAGTCTCTGAAAACAATGTAGATTCAGGTGCTGATAATTTATGGGTATCTGAGTTTCCCTAGATCTGAGATTGATCTTCACTCTCATCAGATGTAGAGTTCCAGCCCACATTTCCAGCCTGTGCCTCAGGCTGTGCTATCTTCAACTCTCCATAAAATGTCTTAGGCTCCTGCAAAGAGCCTGTTCCTAAGCATACCCACCATCCTATTCCAGACTACTGATCAAGCTCTAGATTCCTTTTGATCTAGTTTCCTGAGAATGAGCCCTCACCTGCACAACTAACCACTTCCTGTTTCTGTGTACCGTGTTCTCTACTTCCTTCCTCCCACAGACCCTCCCAACAGCACCCTCTCCAATCACCACAGGTCTGCCTTCTACCCATCCTTTCACTCTCTCTACCTGACCTTGCAGAACTCCTTAAGGGGGAAAAAAAAAGGAATTCTTCCTAAACAAGCCTGAGCAATATATTTTTATAATATTACTTAAATGACTTCAACTTAACTGTGAATTTGTTAGTAATAAAATAGTATGTTCCATATATATGTTTTGGAGATTTGCATCTAAATAAGTAAGATCAACACATCTTTATCTATGAAGTCATCTAGAAAGGAAAATAAATCAAGCAAAGTTGATGAAAAACATGAAATATTTTTTAATGGTGAAAAAGGTGATGTGATTATTACTGTAGTTTTTTAATATATTTTATTGATTTTTTACAGAGAGGAAAGGAGAGGGATAGAGTTAAAAACATCAATGAGAGAGAAACATTGATCAGCTGCCTCCTGCACACCTCCTACTGGGGTTGTGCCCACAATCAACGTACATGCCCTTGACCAGAATCGAATCTAGGACCTTTCAGTCCGCAGGCTGATGCTCTATCCACTGAGCCAAACCAGTTAGGGCTATTACTGTAGTTTTTGTATAGCATTCGTATTGTATTTAAGAGTTACTACTAGTTAAGGAAACAAGAGTTATTATTTTGAACATGACATGGAATGATAGAAACCATCATGTGTACCAGGTTGGAATTTAAATTTTCTGCAAGGCACTCAGATGATAATGGAGTTGAGTCCTTGATGAAGTTTCTCCTTGCTTTCCTGGAAGAAAGGAAAAGGGGAGCATCTAAGAACGAATGAATTGACCACTACAGCTAATTCCGGCACCTAGAGGTACTCTATTTTGGTTTATTTTTTTCACTCTGAGAATTTCAAACAATGAAAACTCCACAGATCTTCAAGATGGGAAAACCTGGAAGACTTTTGAATGAATAGAATCTCTAAGTAACACGCACTATTTGGAAGAAGGCAAAAAACTTTAGAGAAAACTCAGTTATTGGAACTTTAGAAATATTTATCTTAGAAGTGAGAAGATCTGCACAATATTTTTCAAGTTATTTTTTTTTTCAAGCTGACTTGTTATTTACAGCTCTTCCTTACAGTTTGGCTGGGTTATGGGGGATTTATATCCAATCCTCCCTCTACATCACTGCTTTCCATAATGATAAATCATCTTTCCACAGTCTTAGGAATTAAGGGAAGAAGCTAGATATGACTACTGTCTTTATTCTGTACAAGATATTGAAAAACCATTTAAGACCAGAAATTGAACCGTGACCTCCTGGTTCATAGATTGATGCTCAACTACTGAGCCATACTGGCCTGGTTATTTATTATTATTATTCAAAATGTCTTACTTAAAATGCCAGTAAATCATAGGTTGGATCCTTTTTTAAATTTATGTGAATGTTAGAGTTTACATCTATTTAACGTTTCTCTGGGACTTTTTTACTTAGTGGATTCTTTAGGGTTTATTTCAGGAAAAGAAGAAAAATTAACATCAAAAGAAAAAAATGATGGGCGAATTCTGATCAATTTCTATTAGAAACACTCTGATATAGATGTCTAGTCCAGCAATTTTCAACCTTTTTCATTTCATGGCACATACAAACTAATTACTAACAGCCAGTAGCACACCAAAAATTATTTTTTGCCAATCTGACAAAAAAATATTTCAAATTTTTATTCATTCACACCAGACAGCTATTGTGTTGACCATTGTCATTTTTTTTTTTACAATCTAAGGGAAAAGAAGTCAGTGCCCCTGACTAAATAGTGTGGTAATGCATATTTTAAAAATTCTTGCAACACACTAGTTGAAAATCGCTGGTCTAGTCTATTCTAACAAACATATTCTTATTTAAATCCAACATCTTTTCCTTTTTCCTTCCATACATATTTATATTTCCTGTATTATTTTAATTGAATTGACAAATTGATATACATGGAAAAACTTTTATCTCTAACTCAAGGGTATGGATAAACAGATATAAAAGAATGCTACTAAGCCCGGCTAGCATGGCTTAGTGGTTGAGCATCAACCTATGAACCAGGTGGTCACAGTTCGATTCCCGGTCAGGCCACATGCCCAGGCTGTGGGCTCGATCCCCAGTGTGGGAAATGCAGGAGGCAGCCGATCAATGATTCTCTCTCATTATTGATGTTTCTATCTCCTTTCCTCTCTGAAATAAAAAATATATATATTCTTAAAAAGAATGCTCCTAAGAATCTGGCTATTAAAATGTGTCATTTTATTTCAAGCTGCCAACCAAAAAGTGACCTATTTTTACCAGTGTGCTTTATTTCCTATACTTAAAAGATCCTTTTGAAATAAAATAGGCTATGACTTGAAATTTTGAAAAAATACTACAAAGTACACCTACCCAAAAATCAAGTCTTTCATTCAACTTGAGGTCAAGATTGAAAGGTTTAGCATTAATGCTTATATTTAATAAACAAGGGACAGTATAGTTGTATATGTTGCAAGCTTGCAAGCATTCAGATCCAGCACATACACTAGCTATGAGCCCCAAGGCAAAGCATGTAACCCACCTAAACCACCATCTTCTCAACTGAAAAACAGAAACTGAAGGGTACCTACTTCATATGGCTTGTGAGGATGGAATGAGATGATACATGAATCCTATGAAAAGGTATATCTTACTAGATTGTATATACTGCATTGGTACTGACAGATACAAAAATCAGAACTTTCTTAAGGCAAATCAAAAATATAATTTTAGGCTAATTTAAAACTTTTCGAGGTACCTTTACATATATGAATTATTTACCTTTTATGCAGCATCTGGAAACAGCAGGTTCCAAAAGCAACCAGTATCAATAAGAGCAGTGGTATTGTTGGTATGACAACATAAATGAGATTGGGAATTATGCCTACAAATGTAAAACAGCCAGTGTAAAAAGACAGCTGAAGCAGAATTCTAACACCAAAGTTATATAAAAAGTTTTCCCAGAATTTAAGGTAAAATAAAACTATTATCAATAAATAGATTCTCAACAAGGTTCTTCCCTAAGTACGAAATAGCCGAATGATATAATATATTCATGTTTGTTAAAACTCAAAAACAAAATCATACTGCATTGGTTGTCATGCTCCTATTCAGTGTCCATATTTCCAAAAGTATTATTAAATCTGCTATTCAGATAGGGCTAGTTTTCATAATGTATTCATGATCTTAGCTATCTCACTTCACTAATCCTTCTTAGTTCTTATTTAGAGATCCAAGCACTGATTATTAAAGAATAACAATCATTATTAAAATAACTGTTCATTTATTGGATACATAATTATCTTAACCAATAAGCTCAGTGCCATGATGATATGCAAGACTCCTTGGCATTACACCAAAATATGTAAATATTAACTGATGATATAGTCATAACCCAGCAACACAAACCTTCAGAGGCATGAAGACTTGCTCTTAATTAAATTCTAAAAATGAATCATTTTTAATCCTGTTCCATCACACTTGATCGTGTTGGGTATTCTCAGTAGAATAAAAAATTGAAGTCCCAGATAGCATGAGTTTATTGAACATTTCATCAATGTCATAGGGGGAAAATATCCCTAATGTAATTATTTACTGATTATCTTTAATTAGGCTTAGATGTTCTGAATGGTTTAAAATCAGGCATCTGAAAAATGAAGCGCACTAAGCTTTCACATCATATTCATACAGGAAAAACAAATTGAAAACAATGCATTTATTTTCTAGCCAATCAAAAGCAGACATCATTATTAATCTAAATAATTCTGGCCAAAGTGGACCAACCAAAGCAAACTATCCATTTAACTACATATCACTTCCTTTGTTAACATGAGACAGTATATTAGTTGAGGTCCAAGGAAGGGGCATTTTGAAGATAATATATTTTCATCAATTCCTGAGCCTCCAACAGGTAACAGGTGACTTCAAGAATTTTAAAAGTTCACAAAATATGTTTTCCCTTTTCCAAATACCATCATGATCCCTCATCTGTGTTAGTAAAGAAAAAGAGACAGTATTCCCCACTCTTTCATGGATTTTGGATGGCCTGTGGAAAGATTTTGAGACTTTGGGTCTTTGGCTCAATCCTCAAAAAGCAGCTAGGATAAGTCACCGTTCCTGTCCAATTGGCATAGGGCCAGGCTAAAACGATTTCTAACTAACATGCCATCTGCACTGGGATTTCATTGTTTCTTGTGCAGACAGTGGTATGTTGGAGGCAGCTGGGTTGCGAGATCATTGCTTGCATTCTTCCCACCTTGCTGTTGGGTGATGTCACTTTGGTAGCTTGAAAACAGCCAGGGAGTATTTACATCAGAAAATCCCAAAGTCTACAAATCAGTTGTTTTGTTTTGTTTTTCTTTTAATATTTATTGTTGAAAATATTACATATGCCCCCCTTTTTCCCCCATTGACCTCTTCTAGCCCAGCCCCAGGCTTTCATCACCCTACTGTCTGTGTCCATGGATTATGCATGCATGCACACAAGTTCTTTGGTTGATCTCTTTTTATTTTATACCCACCTCACCCTGGCCAATCCTTAAACATTCACCAGCACAACACTGTTGGCAGGCCACTGCATGTGCAAATTTACATCATAATTCCTATACGTTTTTGGGGAAGTTCCTTGTAGGTTCAGATTGTAATGGGGGTTACTTAGTTTGGTGCTGGCTACATAACCAATCAGAAGAAAACAAAATAGGTTCTTGTATGCAAAAACTAGCTTAGCACCAGTTGTTCTAACCTAGTTCAAAAGTAAATGTCCATAGGCCCATATTTAGTGCACCATTTCACCAAGCAACAAGAAAAGTTGGGGCCAACTAGAAGCAGAGTTTAAACAAACAGTTTCTGTTCTCCATAGAGGATTTAAAGACACAAGAACGAATTACCTGCTTCAGTAACAACCACATTTTGATGGGTGTCTTCTGGTTGATTTGTAAAGTAAGTCTTCTCTCCAGGAGTTGTTGGCTTGATCTCTTTAGATAATAAGTACAGACATCATATGATCATATGTAGTGATCAACACGAGAAATACAAATAGATGAAAATAAAAGTTTATTATAAAACCATATAAACATCAGTTTTGACTTCTGAACAACTTACAGCTAAGAATTATATTTTGAATTCCAAATTTACTTGAAATTATCTAACTAGAAAGTCAACATTTAATTATCTTTAAATCAAGCATCCACTTGGTGAATCCTTGCAACCATAACCACATTAGCAATCAACAGCATGTCTACAGACAGTAATATCAAAGCAGGCACGAAGCCAGGCAAAGATAACCAAGAAGCAGTGACCATGAGACTGTGATCCACTAACTGCAATTCAACAGCAAGCAAAGATGATTTTGGTACTAATATCAGTGTAATATTTAGGTTCCTCCTCACAATAATAGTCAGCAGGAGATTCCATATGGATTGCATTTGGAATTGATGACTCAAATAATGTTCTAAGCACATTCCTATCCTATACAAATAATGCCATTCTTAGATATTATTTCTAATAGTGTCTACCTCTTTTTAAAATATGCTAATAAACTAAGGCTTGTGAGTTATTTCTTTCCCTGGTTCTATGAGATGAGATCTCCTCAATTCCATGCCCTTAAAAGATACTGAAAATCTTACCAGGACCTGGTACTGCTCTATCATGTAATTTTTTCTAGGTCTTATTTGTTAAACTAATAGTTCAGTGACTATATTAAATTATTAAGAAAATTCCCTGTAAATTTATTTTCATTTGTTCCAAAAATATAATTTCGTATTTATTTTTGTCAAGTGACGGAAAGAAAAGCTCATATGCAGCATCTTATATTCATTTCAGAATAGTAAATCATTTCAATGTAATGATTACTACTCTGATTGACCACATAGTCTCTATTCATTGGGAGTTTAATCATATACCATCCTGTAATAATATTTACTATCCTTATGTACATATTTCACCCTGACCCTTGAATAGGCTCCACTAGGTTTCAGATACAGTCCTATCCTACACTCATTCTTCTGCAGAATTCAGTTAGGCACTCTATGCCTATCTCAACTGGTATTTGCTGAACAAATAATACAGATATTATGTAATTGCTTAACACAGAACTCATTTTAACACAGAAAATTATCTATTAAATAATTTCAATAAATTTTAATTTAATGCAGTTGCTGATTAAATGACATTTTAGAAACATAATTCCATACATGTTATTTTTAATGTCTAAGAACAAGAGTATATAGTGCAATTTAGTAAATGCAAAAATTAGATTCAGACATATCTCCATAAAAATGCATTGGGTAACATTGGTAGACCTATAGAATAGATATGCAGCTCTTTGGACAATAACAAAAATGATGGCGAAGAGAATAGGCAAACTCAGAAGTAAATTATTCACTTTAAATATGATTAGTCATGCTTAGATGGTATGTTGGAGCAGAAAGAGAAGACTAAGTCCAAATTAAACAGTAGTTCTGGTATAGTTAGAGAAATAATTATAGTTCAAAATGATTTGTGTTATAATTTGTAAATTTTAAGTAGGCCCACTGCTTAATCCTCCAAGTCCCTCACCACTAGAAAGCTAACCATAAGTTCACAAAGTATAAATATTTGAAGATTTAGGTAGAATATAGGAGATAAAGAAAAAAATAATTTTATGTCTATAATGCTCTTCATGAGTAATATAAACCTAGATTATCTAATACAAAACAAGTCAAGAAGATTCTGAGATTATAGTGTTCTGAATAATGTAACTATGAAGGCCAAAATAAACAAATAAAATAAAATAAACAAATACACTTAGGTCAAAGTTTTCATCTAAAAGCTCAGAGAAGCCCTGACCGGTTTGGCTCAGTGGATAGAGCGTTGGCCTGTGGACTGAGGGGTCCCAGGTTCGATTCCGGTCAAGGGCATGCACATTGATTGCGGGCACATCCCCAGTGGGAGGTGTGCAGGGGGCAGCTGATCGATGTTTCTCTCTCATTGATGTTTCTAACTCTCTATCCCTCTCCCTTCCTCTCTGTAAAAAATCAATAAAAATATACAAAATAAAAAAATAAAAGCTCAGAGAAGAAGACAATATTGTATTAAGAAGATTCTATAATATAATCTGTTTAAGAGTTTTGAGTACATACAGTTGCAAATAGAAACTACCAGAGAATTTCAACTTTATATTTTTAAGAAAAAAAGAAGAAGATAAAAACCATAAAAGTGTAACAGATAAAAACCATAAAAGTGTAACAGATTTAGCTTTGTAAAGGCTTCTAAAAGGGTAATGATGAATTTAGCAACCTACGGGCTGCTAAAGAATAAACTCACCAGGGAAAGAAAGTTGGCTAATACACTCAAGAGCAGGATAAACATGACAGAGGAGTAAATCTAATTCAACTAATCCCTTGTGCTTCATGGTCTTATGAGAAAAAGGAATCATGTAATTTCAAGAGAATAATGGAAATAGCAGCACTTGATTATGATTGCCTTCCATGAGTACATGAGGTCAAGTGGACAGAAGAGTTAAAATGTATTTCCAAACACTGAGGAGACAAATAGCAGCAAAAGAAATCCCAAAGCCTAAGAATCTAATTTGACTTCCTTAAATTATTTTTTAAAACGAGTTTATACAGTTTTGATTAATCTCTCTTTTGGTCAAATATCAATTCAGTTGAGCTGTCTTATTCAAAGTAATTCAAATTACTATTTCCATAGGAAACTACACTGTGGTAGCTTAGGTCAATGTAATCTTCTCATTAGCTGCATAGGGCAACGAATTAGAGACTTGAAGCAAAAGCTGATTAAGGAGGCATATTTCAAAGAATGAGGATCACAGCAAGAACATGGCACACGTCCCTACTTTTTTTCATGATTGTTGGTTCAATGAGCTATGACCAATTTGATATTCACTGAAAAGCATGTGTCAAGAATCATGCCATGAAATCATAAGGTAATGTTCCTTTGATCCCTTAAATTTCCCAGATGATCACCCAAAGAACTGTTGCTCAGATGTGTAAATCTATAGGTGCTTTGGTGACATACCTCCTTCACACACACCATACTAAATATTTAAAACTAGAGGCCCGGTGCATGAATTCGTGCACGGATGGGGTGCCTTGGCCTGGCTGGTGATCAGGGCCCATCAAGGCTGCGGGAGGTTGGCCAGCCGGGGGGAGGGCCCGTGGGAGGTTAGCTGGCCAGAGGGAGGGGTTGTGGGAGGTTGGCTGGCCACGAAGGTTGGCTATAGGAGTGCACTAACCACCAGGAGGCAGCTCTTACATTGAGTATCTGCCCCCTGATGGTCAGTGCATGTCATAGTGACCGGGCGTTCGGTTGTTCGGTAATTTCGTCACTTAGGCTTTTATATATAGAGATATTTTAAAATAGATGTTTACTTTTCAAACACAATTTGACTTTAATATTGGAAATGATTATTTCCTCTTAAAGACACCTTCCCAGATATTCCTAGGTACTCCCTAGTTCTATTTCTAGTGACTGCAGTTTCTATTTCTAGTGACGCTAGTTTCTATAGTCTCTAGGTACTCTGGTCCTAACTCTGTGGCAGCTTGTCCTGTGGCCCACAGTGTGCTGCATTACACTGCATGACAGGGCAAGCTGCAGAGTACAGTGATGTTTCACAGCAGAAAAACAAAAAGAGCCAAAGGTAGCAAAGCTTACAGATAAGACAATACAAGCAGATAGGCACAACATCTGTTAATGTCAGTTTACACTACATCCTACCTGGTTCATACTTGCAGATGTAATTGTGCTTCATGTTGCACCTGTCGTCATTCCACTGGTAAAGGTAGGGGCCTCCAAGGCCAGGATTGGCCGTAGGTTGATGATACATCACAACGCACTTTTCACTTCCACAGGAAGGTTCATCCGCATACCAGTTTCTGGAAATAAAGGGTGCAGCAAAAGTAGGATTACAATTGTTTGTGCAGAAAAATAATGCAGTAATTAATAAATAACAATGCAGTAATTAATAAATAACAATAATGCAATGATTAATAATAATACAATGACTAATAAAACAACACAATGATTAATAAATAGTAACACCAGAACTGTGTTCAACATACTGAAAACCTACTCTTGTCCTGCTCTGTATAGAGCAACAGGAACACTTCTAAGTGGTGTCACCTGTTCTATTCTGACATCCTACAGGGAAGAGAAATCTCCCTCAGGAGCCGACTCACCGGTACTGGGAGCCGCTGCCATCGGACCAGCGGTAGAGGTCTGGGCAGGCACCAGACGCTTGTCCCTCGCCACTCCTCCAGAGGCCTATCCAGAAATCGCCATCAGAAATCCCTGTGCCTGGTTTTGTCAGGTTTTGCAACATGCTTTCTATCAACTTCTGTTCTGCTGCGTTCTCCAGGCTGAGCAGGGCTCCCCCCTCACTCTCACAAGCCAGGCGCGCCTCCTGGAAGCTCACTCGGCTGGACAGTTCCTGGAAATAGGCCAGTTTGTAGCAGGGGTGCTGGTAGTCGGCAAAACACACCTTTTGGCCTGAAAAGCAAGCAAGCAAACAAACGAACGAACATCAATGACTTAAACACATAGGCAACAAAACAAAAAGTTTGATTTAAAAAACACTCTCAAAATTGAGTTTCACATACACCTACATATTAAGCAGAATGAATTTTCCTGATGTCATAACTGAATAGGCATGATCATATCGGGTCATAATGAAGCCATAGTGTATGGGACTTAGCTAACTCTACCAGCAATGGAATATTTTATTTACACCCTCCCGCGTTTTACCCCCAAACATGTAAGCAAGATGATACAAACTGTCTCCAATGGTCAAGCTGTTTTATTTCTCATTATCTTCTTTAGTTCACCTCTCACCTCTGGTTGTCAACTTCACAAACTGCCAGGAACCCCTCTCCGTCCCTGTTCCTTCTCTCCAACCTGCTGCCCATGACCTGCTTAGTCTTTGTCTGATTTCAGCTTAGGTTTAGCCTTGGCAAATAGACTATCATACTATTTTATGTAAAATTAAGTGAAATGACTTTATGCTAAGAAATTAAGCACAAAGTTTTACTGCTTTCTTATGGTTCATCTGCATGAACATTATTTCTCTTGAGATTGAAGGCTTTTTTCACTGTGTATTTAATTTTGTAGCTGAGCCAGATATGGTGGCTGGAGGTGTTATTGTACTTAAACACTGGGAACAAAATAAAGCATCCCAGATTTACACTCTTAATTACAGTGTATCACACCTAGCCAGTGCTGGTAGCACATCCCTTCTCCCCGAGTAAGCAACTGATCACCTCTGATGACACGCAGAGGCAGGAGGGAGCGGAAATCAGCACAAGGCCATTCACCTCACAACAGTGTTTGAGTGACACGCATCCAATAACTTGACACAAGCAGAGAGCAGCCAACTAATAAAATGGCAGCCAGTTGTCCTCTGTCTCATTAACCCTGATCTGGGCCCAGGAGCAACACATTGAATCATATGAACAAATTAGCAGACTGCCCCAACTAATTGTTAATGAAAAATAGCAGGCAGGTATGAATGCCCTCGGGAAACTGGAATTAAAGAGACTTCAAATGGACAAATCCATCAGAAACATTCCTTGAGAGATGATTATGGAAGTCCCAATGATTGATTCTAGCACAATTGTTATTTTAAAAATGATTATGGAAGTCCCAATGATTGATTCTAGCACAATTGTTATTTTAAAAAAAAATTTCTCCTAGTCTATTATTAGGTTTTGAGATGACTTCATTATTAAAAAGTGTTTCTGGTAATATTTTAACAATGCCATGAAGCCTAGTGATTTTCATGTCTATATTTTTAAATCAAGCTCTGTTTCCATTTTCATCTTCTGCATCCTTTACATACTTCTAAGTTTCAAAATATCTCTCAACTGCATTCCCTTGAGGTTTCAATTTGTTTAGTTTTTCATTCTGAGAAATCTCAGTCTTTGGATTTGATTCCAGTACTTTTAAAATATTAACCTTGTCCAACAAGATTGTTTTTGCAAGATGTCAAAACGCCAAATTAAAAAAAAATTGATTAGCCAGAAGTTTTAATAAGTAAAAGTTATTTGTTTAACAAATATATACACATTCAGAGGATTCATATGTATGATTTGTATGCCAAGAGTCTCTGCTCATTATCTTCCCTATATTAAAAATATATGCAGCACATATTTATTATTTATGATGAGGGTACAAAAATGATAAGACTAAACTTATTTATAAAATGAAGATAGTGCTTCTAATTAAATGCATGACAGCTTTTGGTGTCATGAGAAAATTCCTAATGCCACTCTTAGCTATTAGCCAAGTATAAATGTCAGTCTGTAGAGAAATAATAATAATAAGAGAAAATCCATAGGCAGGGGTTATATTTAAAATAATTAACAACTAATACTGCCCGGGTCCTGGATGATAGCCAATCTGATGCTCGCTGTGGCTGCGGCTGTGGCTGATGGAGTGGTCCAGGAGTCCTGGGCCAGGGGGTGGAGACTGTGTGGCTGCATTGCAGGGGATCTCTCTGAGAATCGGGACAGTGGCCAATTACCAACTACAGATAGACATTGACTCCAAAGTGTATTGATTGAATATCAACTATGTCCACAGATTTTGCACTGAAAAGTCACTAGCAGTTGAGATCTAGCATGGCAGTTTCCAGGAAATTATGGAAACATTGCAGTTTTTTAATGCTATACATATATCATAGTCAGTTAAAGCTGACGCTGTAAATTTCTTTACATCCAATTGTACTTCACTACTGATTTCCACCTTCTCAGGCAAACTTAGTCCATGTTGCAGCAAAAGAAGTAGCTATTGAACTGCTCACTGTCATTTCAGCTGACCACATTGCCCTGTAATCGCAGTGGAACTCCAACAGCTGGGAAACAGATGTTGCCCTGATTCCCAGAAAAGTCCCATTAATACGGATCTGCAGGAAGCAACTTTTCCCACTTCTGTAAAGGCTAATATTCCTAGAGAACCATTATGGTTCCCTCCCTTCTCATTCTGTGAGATCACAGAGAGAATTTCCTTTTCTCGTACTTCTAAATGTTATATTCAGATAAAATCTTCCACCCACCGCTTTGAAATACAGGAGTTCTAATCTTCCATCTATTCCATCTACTTCATCTAACCTTCTATCGACTAGTCTACTACCCATAACATATTCAGGTAAATATTCAGATAACAGTGTAACAGCTTTTGCTACATGAAGGCTAACTTGATACTATCTAACAATAATTTACTAAATGTTACTTAGCATCTGTAGTGAGAAATATCCTTTGCCTGTTGGCTTATTTACAAGAGGGAGAAAAGACCTTCTACCTAGGAGCCTACACCTATTGGTTTCTCACACACACACACCTACATATGTACCCAGGAACTTTTATTTAGAGATCATTCTCAGGATTGCCTATTAAAATCAGGATTGCCTATTAAAATAAACATTCCTATCAATATCAGAGCCAAGACTATGCTACTACTTCCATGAATAGTCATTAAAATTCCTGTAGAGCTAAACATTGGCAGAGTTTTCAATGCTTTTGGCAATAATGTAAAAGTGGGGCCAAACTCATAAATGCATTGCACTTTACTTTTTTCTTCCTGAATAGAAAGGGATCTTGGTGCTATTTGCTTATATGTATTAACTTTCTGACAGGTGAGTCGTCAGTGTGCTAGGAAAGTAATAACATTTTCCTTAGACCTCATACTATAATCATATATTATCGATATTAACTCAATATCGAATTTATATCCCATTATTCAGTAAAATGTACAAGACATTTTATGAATTCCTATTGTTCAGTTATGGCCTACCTTAGGTGGCCCAGAAAAAGTTGTACAAAAGAGGATTTACATGATAAACCCAAATCAGAGACTGACTGGATTTCAAACATTTTATCAGAATTGCACGAAAGAATTTGTTTTTCATCATTCTTTCTTACTCCCCTCAAAATCACACTAAGTATGCTGATACTACATTATACAGTGTCACGTGACCTCTGATGGCAATGCTGACACTTTCAAACTAGAAAGAAAGGGAAAGCTATGGATTCCATGTTCTGCTTTCAGGGTTCAATATTACACCAACTTCTTAAGAATTTTCCTTATAAAAATGTTTTGTAATAATAAACTTCATTTTTGCAGCAGAGATTGTATGATGCAATGAGCTGCATAGTGCACTATTAAGATGTGCTGGAATCCATTTCCTACATTGGTAAACAAAACAAAACAGCAGTCTTGGGTCATTTGTTGAATGGTGGTGCAGCTGCAAGCCCTACCTCTCCAGCTAGGAAATACCACACGCTTCCTGACAAGAAAATGAGATTCCTTTTTTAATTAAAAAAATTCTAATATTTAAAATCAAGATCTAAATAACAAATGGTAAACCATTTGTGTGACTCAAGATTGCAAGCATTCAACCAATCAGAACTGGCTTGGAATCCCAGAGTTCTACTTGAACTGTGGGGACATTGAGGACATTAATGTTTTCTTTCCTAAAAAGTAAGAGTGGCCCTGGCTGGTTTGGCTCAGTGGATAGAGCGTCGGCCAGCATAGTGAAGGGTCCTGGGTTCGATTCCAGACAAGGGCACATGCCTGGGTTGCGTGCTCGATCCCCAGCAGGGGGCAGCTAATCAATGATACTCTCTCATCATTGATGTTTCTATCTCTCTCTCCCTCTCTCTTCCTCTCTGAAATCAATAAAAAAATATATTTTAAAAAAAGTGAGAGTGGTTATGAGTTTTAAAGAAATGAGAATCATAATAGTAGCCTGACATTTATCAAGAGCTTAATATGCAGGACCTCAAAGTTAGCACAATCCATGCCTTTGGGTAAATTAGGAAAATATCTCTCCTGGTGATATAGGCTGTTCAGCTAGAAAAAAATAATAATAATGTGTTTTCTCGTAGGTGGCCTCAGCTCCAAGCACAGGGCTGGCCACGCGGGGTCCGTCTCACAGCTCCTTGAAAGTCAAGTAATTTTCCCAAATTCACACAGCTCCCAAGTGGTGAACTCAGGGCTGTGAACCAGGGAGCCAGGCTCCACAGTTCATGCATTTACCCCAGAGGTGTCTCAAATAGATCTTTTTTCTTAAGGTGAAAGATTTCATAGATAAAGGGATTGATGAATATATTCATTATTTGTGTTTTCCACGTTATAATTATTAGTATTGATCCATTATTGATTACTGGATATATGCAAGGGGTTGTGCCTTGAGAGTTTGCTTCTACGCAGACTGTGGATTTTCTCTTACTGAACATTTAGCCACACGATTAATACTGGAACATCGATCTAGTATTTTCAGACCATATATGTCTTTAATGATTGTTTTATTGAGCCTCCTTTTCCCCCAAATAAAACAAACAAGACCCAAGCTGACCGCCCCCGCCCCCAATTACAAGGAGGATAACTAGAATCAAGTTGTTAGGCCATGTTATATCATCCCTAATGTGTGAAAGAAACAGTCTCTCCTGGCAGTGTATGCATCCAGCCACCTAGCACAGAGCACCGTTACAAAAAGTAAAAATGGTTAGTGAGGACATCAGCTGGATTTCCGCTTGTACCCCTTTATTAAACAACAGTGCCTCTTTTCTTGTGTTAATGGAATAGATATTGCCATCTCCAGGAAAAAGTGTTCTAAAAACAAAGCCATAAAATGCTGAAAAACAGCAGTTAGGGATTAATGGCTATGATGAATGTGCAGTTTATTAAATGACTAGCAATAAGATTAATTTGTTCCTTTCTTGCCCAAGAGATGCTTAAAGTAATTGCATCTTTGAAAACTGCACCGTCATCACTTTATGCTTTTGATGATGTCATGGAATACTACCAGAGGCTGGGATAACAGTTCTTTGTATCTCCTTTGCTATTATGTTAATCTGTTGGCTACTGATCATCAGCATGATTTTGCAGTATTCTGTGGCTTCTGTGTGACAAAAAGAGAGGTCTCTAAACCATCCAATCTTCTAAATAAAATATTTGCCAATTTTAATAAGTTCCAACTAATACATATTAAAATGTCCTGCAGAAATTTGGAGGCTCCATGAAACATACTCAATGCCAGTTTGCAGCCCAAACAGGTTGGGGATCACTGCTGTGTGCACTAATAAAAAAAAAAAAAGAGGGAGAGAGTAAAAGAAAAAAAAGAAATGTTACTTCAAAACACTTCATATGTTTAAAAATACCCACATGCTCTTCAAATACATCTTCCCATCTTTGAAACCGGAATTTTGAACTCTTCTTTTTCATGTGTATCTCTATCCCCATAAGTCAACTCCTCTTACCTTTGTCCTAAGGATTCCATTACCTACCAGTCACTTGACAAAATTAAATGGCTGCAGCCTCCGGAGGTACTCTCTACACATCTGTGTTCAGCAACAAACCGGTACAGGTCTAAGACCCTAAAAGTAGTTCCCAACTTAGAGCCATACATTCACTACGTACTATCTGATTGTTATCCTCATGATTGGATATTTGTATTGCTTTTCCATGCATCAAAATAAGCATGGCGTCTGACCTGTAAAAATACTTTTCTACTACTGCTAGATGCTATCTATGAACTCTTATAGGGAAGATTATGATGATGAAGCTGTTTGAAATGCTTTAAAAAATATTTTCACTTCCTTTAAAAATAATGCTCTCAACTTTTAAAAGGATGATGTATTTTAAAGTACTGGAAAGTATCTTATAATGGAATATTTTAAAGTGCTAAAATGAGAATTTCTATGCAGGATTATTTTATGAGTTTCTGTCATTTGTCTGGGGTGATTATGGTGGTATACTACATGGACATTATAAATAGCTGTATTGATATTTAATAAATAGAAAATGTATTTAACATATTGTAAGTATATTCCTACTGATGGTCCCAAGGAACTTGCTGCAGTCAACAGACACTTGCGGATTTTGGTAGATGGTCCCTAGTGGCATTAAAAAGTTGATGCACCACTCAAAACTCAACACTGACCAGGCAGACATTAGAACTACTACTCCAAAATGTCCAGATTTAAACTGTTCTGTCCTCGTGCCATTTTGTCTGAAATATATATTTTTAAAAGATTGTCTTCAAAGCATAAAATCGCAAATCAATTTATAATGCTTAAATGTCAATGTGAACTTGTACGGCCAAAGACAATTCAATTACTCATAAGAAAAACTTAATTGTTTTAATACCAAGCAAACATCATCATTTATACTAAATCAAATAGATCATGTTCAGTTAATTAGAAATTTTCCAGATGTCACCTGCAAGATGCCTATAAATAACAGAAAAAACACAGCAAGAGGTTTACAATAATTTATGCAATAACATTGCAGAATAAATTTTCACTAACAATTTTCAAGTTCTAATTTTAATCATATATCTTTTTCCCTCCCTCGCAAAGTTTAAGACATGCAAACAAGAATACACCAAAAAGATACTATTTAATTCAAAGAAGTGTTTCTATGTGTTTACAAAACACCTTATGCTCAATGCCTGGTCTTCGCTGTTCATTCATTTGCAAGCATAATTCTGATAAATAGGAAGGCAGTTAGATATGTGTAATTCAGGTGAGTCCAAATAGTAAACTTTTTCCTCAAAGTTAAATTAGGGGGGAATGAGCCAATGGAATGGCTTCTATCACATCCTTTTTGATACTGTAGCGTTTTCCTTTTAAAAATGTTGAGCCAGATTCTCTTCAAAAAAAAAAAAGCAAGCAGCTATAGTATTTCCAAATGACACTTCACAATGTATTTAATTCCAGTGTCTCCAGGTGCCAAAAAGGTAGTCGAGAGTGAAAGACAACCAGACATTCAAGAATTGTATCCTGAAGATGTAGGACATCACATATCGCTGAGGGGAAGATCAGTAACAATTAAGCTTAAGATGCCAATTTCTAAAGGTCTGGCTTCGCTGCTGATGAAGTTGCCGTCATCTGTCATCTCTCTCTACCTCCATGGCACCTGTTCTAAGATGCACAGACTGTGAAAAGGAATCTGTGCTTTTCACATGAAAAAAAACCTCCCGGCACTTAAAACACATGCCCACATACAGTCAACAAACATTCGTTGCAACCCTTTCATTAGCATCACAGGAGATTTCAGTAAAAGGAGTGTCTGAGCTCCATTTTCAGGATGGCCCTGGTCACGCTTCTGAGAATCTTCCTGTTTTTTTAAGAGACCTTCCCCAAAAGTAAGAAAGAGTGAATCAAATGTAAATGGCTCAACAATAGGCGCGTGGAAGTCCAAGGGAAAGAAAAATCGGAGCGAACGCTGGGAGGCTGGCCAATGCTGATGCATTTCCCTTGCACGGACTCCGCCGACAAAATTGGGCACCTACTGGGAGCATGAACCTGCAGCCAGTCGTCGCCATGCATATACCTCAGCCCAACTCGAGCCGACTTCATGTTCTATCAGGTCCCCAACTTGGGACGAGGTGCGCAAAGGCAGGGCAGCAACGCACCATGACCACCCTCTTCTTCCCCCCCCCACCCCCACCCCCCTTCTTTGTCAGCCTCCTGAGAACAAAGGCTGCGTGCCCAGGGGTCCCCTAGGGACTCACGGCGCGCAGATCTGTCGCAGATCCTCCCAGAGGACGCGGGGTGGGGACTGCAGCGGAGCCAGGCCCACAGGGGGAGGCATCCCCGCAGCGGCTCTCCGTCCCCCGGGCTCCGCGGGACCCCACCCCTGCCGCAGGGGCCCAGCCCTGCCCTGCGACCAACTCTCTTTCAAAGAAAGTGGAAATAAATGACTCCCGGAGAAAGCCGCGCTGCTCGCCATGAAGCCCGGCTCCTTTCGCAGCCATGGAACCCAGCACTTGCGACATTTTTAAACTTTTTGCGTGTATTTTGAGGGGCGGAGGAGAGCGCACGGCACAACCCAGCTTCCCACGCCTCCTCCCGGCTCCCAACCCTGCACAGCTTTCCACCCCCCGGGAGACCGTCCACTCTGGGACGGACAGGCTGCCCCGCACCGCCCTCGCCCGCGAGCCCCCGGGTCCCACATCCCTGCTCGTCCGGTTGGCGAGCGGGTGGCCCCAGACTCACCGCTGACCACCCGGCGACAGAAGGCTCCGTGGCCGCAGAGCAGAGCGGCGCCCAGCAGCAGCGAGACCACGCGGCTCATCGCGGCCCGGCGGCGGCGGCGGCAGCAGGTGTTGCACTGAGCGAAGGCGGCCTCAGCCCGGTCTCTAACCCCTGAGCCTCCCTACCTGCCCCCGCGGGCGCTACTCCCGCTGTCCGAGCCCAGCCGCCCGGTCCCCTGCACGCATCGCCTTGGGGCGGACCTGGCGCCGGGCGCGCTGATGTCGCGCGCGGGTGTGCTGGGCTGGAGCGCACGCCTCCGGGGTGCGCCTTGAAGGAGAGGGGACAGAAGTTGGGGGGTTGGGTGTGGGTCCCAGGTTAGGCAGCAGGAGCCCTGGTGAGAGCCCACCGGCCCGCTGCGATCGGCTCCCAGGCCTCGGGGCGAGTGAAGGGCTGAGTCCGTGCGCCCAGGTCGCGGGTCTCAGGGCAGCAGCCGCGCTGCGCTGGAGGCGCTTCTTATATACCCACACCCTGAGCTTCAGGCTCGTCGCTAGTAACGGTTTTTAACTACTTCGTCTCTCCTACAGTGCGGTGCGGAGCATCCCGGCCCCTCCCCTAAAAACACTTTGAAAACAGTCCACTCAGCAGCCCCACCTCCTCCACCCTGCTCTCCCCCGTCTCTTCTTGCCATTCGCTAACGGACTCCAGAGTCATTTGTGTAAAAATGTGACAGCTTCGCTATTAAACTCTGGCAAAAAGTTGGACCCATTTGGTTTTCTCAAAGATTAATGTCCACGGGGATGCCAAGTTGTGGGGCCTTTCCTCTTTCTGTGCTAAATTGCTTGATCATATGTATTGCTGGATGCAGGGCACGAGCCACTATGTAAGATGGATTGGCGGAGAGGAGCCAAAACCTGCTTAGGGAATTATATAATGTGGCAGGTTTCCCCCCAACCTAGGTTCTGCAGCTAGATGACTTCCAAGCAGGCTGGTTGACTAAATTGCCACAGGAGTTAAGTTGAAAGAACATTGGAAGCACGGTTTTCCCAATCGGTTTCCATCGCAGTCTTTGCAGCTCCAGAGAAAACATCAAGGCAAAATAAATATTCTGAATACTTGGGAATTTCGTGGATATACATGTCTGTATTTGTTTGCAATCATCTCTCAGTGAGCCTATGGTTTGCATTAGAAGCAAGACTCGTCTAAAACCTGCAGGGGCTTTTTCCTATAACCTTAAGGAGTCTTTATTAAACAGTCCATCCAAGGATGGTAGGGCTTCCTGGAGTATTGGAAAGCACGCTCATGAGTTTCCCCTATGGCCTGTGGTAAGAACCTTGAGGATGCTCTCATAAAGAACTGCAGCAGACTTGGTATGTTGCCATTATGTTGCTTTAAGTGCCCCAACCTTTATTAAAGTCCTTTGTTTTTAATGGGTTGTAAACTTTCCTGTAACACCTCCCTGTCTTTATTGTTTCATAAGCCACAAGGTCACTGTCAACATCTGTTGGGCTGTTTTCTTGAAAAAGGTTAATTCTGCTACAGCAAGGACAAGTCTTGTAGAATAAGAAAGTTTAGTTAACAGTGGTTCTCAACCCTTTAATACAGCTCCTCGTGTTGTGGTTGACTCCCAATTTCATATTTACAAATTGAACATAATTAAAGCATAGTGGTTAATCACAAAAACAATATGTAATTATATATGTGTTTTCTGATGGTCTTAGGCGACCCCTGTGAAAGGGTCGTGAAAGGGTCGTTCGACCCCCAAAGGGGTCGCGACCCACAGGTTGAGAACCGCTGGTTTAGTACTTGGAAAGGACTTAAATATTATTAAACACACCCTGCTCAAGAGAGTAGAATTCCAAAATAATTACAATGGTGTCTACCACTTAAATTTTTCCTTGTATAACCATAAAAATACAAATTTAATATCAGGTTGAGGGCAATAGATAAATCTTGTAGAGGGTATGGATTTTTGAATTTCACCGCTAGCTAGATGTCCAAAAGAAAGAAGCACTGCTGGGATTTTTGAATGGAAAATGGGTAACTGACAAATGCTCGAGGCAATGGAGGATTGTTCAGCCCTGTGAACCCTTTCCAAGAGTGTCACTGGTGTGGAGGTCCGAGAGCTGCTCCAGGGGCTCGCAGTCAATGTGGAGAAAGACACGTAATAATGACTGTGTATGTGAATGCTACAGCGAAAGGGTGAATGGAGTGTCATGGTTAGCACAGAGGAATGAGGAAATTTTGCAGGAATTTTCTAGTAGCATCTAGGGTGAGGATGGCGATCCTCATTGGTTGATAGCCTGAGTTACTTCTCCAAATGCTTGCACAACTAGGATTCTGAATGGGAGCTTCATTCTCCTTTCATGACATACTACACCTGGATATTGGGGGAGCCCAGAGCTATCATGGGAAGGACTGTCAGTGAATTACAACATAGGCACTGGGTATAATTTCCTACATATCAACAGACCCCCGAAGGTTTTTGACATCTGAAAAACCAACAAGTCCTTGAAGCCATTATTGACCACGGGGAGCGACATGGTTTTTGTCTTCCAGAAAATCCAAATGATAACAACTGTATATTCAATAGGGTTGTACACATGTTCTAAAATATAGTTTCTTTAGGTTAGGATTTTATCAATTCAGAAAGGTCGTACTGGTCTACCAGGGCTGCTCAGCAGTTATTCAGACAGCTGTTGGACTTACCAGGAAGACAAATTATTAAAGGCCCTTTTAGCTGATAAGACTCACTCTTTTGCTTTGTTTCTGCATCAGTAGAAAACACCTGGATGGATCATCACTACATTCAGAGAGCACATGTCGGGTAGTCTTAAATAAAGAATAAGAGTGATATTAGATATTCCTTTTGGAGAGCATGCTGGGGGTATCTCTCAAACAATTTTTTCATATAGTGTAGTAGGAGATATACAACAAACATTTTCAACAAATTATATTTAAAATATAAAGTTATTGGGCATTGGGGGTAAAACAACCAACGTTCATTAATTTTTTTAACAAACGACTTTTGTTTTTTTCCCTATGGATAATGTATAAGGTGTCACCAGAGACAAATGACTTTCTCATAGCAAACATATTTCAGTTCCACAATTAATAAAATGAGAAGTTTAAGAACTTTTTCAGATCAGTCAGGAGATAAAGGATCCCCCAAGGGCAACCTTAGGGTTTGGTGAGGAAAGTTTGCCCATGCATAGAGCTGGGTATTCAGAGGCCTTGAAACCAAGGGTGACCAGGCCACATGACTGGTGACTGGCATTCAGGAGAGAGGTCCATCACAAGATTCTGTGTCCAGCTAAAAAAATTCAAATTAGAACTTCACATTGATTCGGATAAGGAACTCCACATTGATTCAACAACTTAAAAACATCTCTTCAAGCCCCCGAATAGGAAGGTGGTCTCGATAAGACTGACCCCAAGGTCTTGGTGGCAACAGTCAGTGGTTGAATATTGGCCTATGAACCAGGAGGTCATGGTTTGATTCCCAGTCAGGGCACATGCCTGGGTTGCAGGCTCGATCTCCTGTGTGGGGTGTGCAGGAGGCAGTCGATCAATGATTCTCATCATTTATGTATCTGTTTCTCTTTCCCTCTCCCTTCCTCTCTGAAGTCAATTTAAAAAAGTTTTTGTTTGTTTGTTTTCATTTTTAAAGAGTGATCCCAAGGAAATCTCTGGCCTGAATCAAGTGCTGAGTCTTCAGAGGCTCTGAATCATCAATTGAGCAACATTTGGAATCCAAAGTTTGGAAAAATGACATCAGGGACCTTAATAGTACACTATGGAATCTGAATTCCCCAAATATACAAATTACTCCTTCAGTCTCCCCATTCCCTTTCAAATACTTGCAATTCCCAGTGAGTATCTGTTTCACGTGTCCACTAATAAGTCTCAAGGGCAGACAGTCTGAATTCCAGGAATTGATTTGCAATCAGTGGCTTCTCACTTGGGCAACTCCGGACAGTGGCTTAGCCTCAGGCCCAGCAGGGTTTATCACATGTTCCAGAGCAAGAAGAAGGGAATATGGCTGTCTTAGTGAGTCTGGGCTGTTATGACAAAGTACGATAAACTGGGTGCCTTAGTAACAACAGAAATTGATTTCTCACAGTTGTGGAAGCTGGAAATCTGAGATCAGCTCAGTTCTGGTGAAGGCAGTCTTCTGGGCTGCAGATTTCTGACTTCTGGTTATATTCTCACATAATGGAAAGAGGGCAAGTGAGCTCTCTGGGATCCCTTTCATGAGGGCAAAAGTCCCACTCATGGGGGCTCTAATTACCTCTCCAAGGCCCCACCTCCTAATACCATCCCATTCGGGATAGGATTTCAACATATGAATTTGAGAGGATACAAACATGAAGTCCACGGCAATGGCCTAAAAGAGATTTGTTACAATGTTTGAAATTATTACATTAATTATTATATTAATACTAGAGGCCCGGTGCATGAATTCATGCACCAGTGGGGTCCTTTGGCCTGGCCTGTGGGATCAGGCTGAAACTGGCTCTCCGACATCCCCCGAGGGATTCCGGATTGCAAGAGGGTGCAGGCCAGGCTGAGGGAACCCACCGGTGCATGATTAGGGTCAGGGAGAGACGCGAGAGGTTGGCCAGCCGGGGAGGGACCATGGGAGAGCTCCAGGGCATGTCCAGCCCATCTTGTCCAGTCCCGGCCAGACCCCAGCAGCAAGCTAACCTACCAGTTGGAGCGTCTGCCCCCTGGTGGATAGGGTATGTCATAGTGACTGGTCAACTGGTCGACTGTCTGACCCCTGGTGGTCAGTGCACATCATAGCGAGCGGTTGAGGAGCCTTAGCATATCATTAACATATTATGCTTTGATTGGTTGAATGGTATATCGGACACTTAGCATTAGGCTTTTATTATATAGGATATTTGAAATGTTAATAGAATCTAATATTAACTAATGTATTCATTCTATTACACTTTATTTAATGATGGCTAATTATTCTTCTAAGCACTATCAACAATATTACAGGTAATAATACAATAATTTGACAGTGAAAAAATAAAACCATTACTATATAATCACTTTGGGAGTAGGCAAAAACTGTTGTTTTGTTTTTGTTTTCTGAATAATGGTTAGTTCTGAATAATTCCAGAAAGATA